CGCATCCCACCCCAGCAGGAGGAGGAGGAGGAGGAGGAGGAGGAGATGCAACAGTGAAAGCTTCCTCAACGTCTGGCAGAAGACGATAAAAGCAAGGGGTCTTCAAACTTGGCAAGTTTTAAGACTTGTGGACTTCAGCTCCCAGAATTCCCGAGCTAACGTGACTGCAGGAGGAATTCTGGGAGCTGAAGTCCACAAGTCTTAAAGCTGTCAAGTTTGAAGACCCCTGCAATAAACACAACCCAAGGCTGTGTCATAACCATCGGAGTCTGAATCCAAGGAGGAAGATGAACAGCTGACAAGGAGTGGGAGTGCGGCTCTGTTGGCTGTGGAAGAAACCGGGGAAGGGCAAAGTCTGGCTGCACAGAGCAGGGGAGAGGTAGAACAAAGGAGAGGGGGTTCGGAGGAAGACCCACCCCCTCTTCATCCTAGGGCACACAGGGAGGAACGGAGAAGAAAGCAAACTGGGTGGCTTGGCTTACAGGGGAGGAAAGGGCCCTGATTCCCTTCATTCGCCACACCTGAGAAGAGAGTTTTAAAAAGATACATGCTGAGTGTGGCAGCTGCTGGGAACAAACATGAGTTTATCTTGTGTTGACTGTGGTTATCTGTGTTCCTGGCATCCTCCCAACTGGTTTGATTTACTACTGTGCTTTCACGTCTGGAATTCTTGCTCCTGCCCTGCCGGACTAATGACCTCATTTTGCCTTGATTGGACTTATAGTTACAGTTTTTGTTGACCATGTTTTGGACTTGATTCTCTGCAGCCAAAGGCTCTTCCTGGGAGAGTTTTTTTTTTCCTCCAGCCAGAAGGTAACCAGGACATTGGGGACAAAGTTGGAGCTCATAAAGGGAGTCCTACTGACTATCTGACTGTGTTGCCTTTGTGCCACGCCCCGGACCATCACAATCTGGATTGTACCACAAAGGAGAACAAGCCATAATTTGCCTCATCATCCGGCAGGGTGGAAACAGCTAGCACCACACATTTACCCAAATGTCTGTCCAGAAAGTCTCTAATTCTTGCTTCGGGATTATAGAGGCAAGCAGAGACCTTTTCTAAGTATCTCAGGAGGAAGCTGGAGACCTCCTAGAATTGCTTGGTTTGGCTGTCTAGCCTGGAGGAACGCGTGTTTTCATGCTGGCCAAGAGTAAAACAACATTCATTGTGAAAACCGTCAGGAGTTAATTTGCAAGGCAGGCTTAGAGCAAACCAACGAGTCCATGAAGACAGGCCTGGAACGTTTCCTTCCCACAGCCTCACATCTGGACCTGGGTTGTTTGTTCCCACATCAACCAAGTCTCTCTGCCCTGCTGACTTCCCCACAGTCTCACCCATGCTGGCAAAGAACCGGATTCTTCCTCTGATTCAAGGCTCTCAAAACACCCTCCTAGGTTTTACACTGGGGGGAGGAAGTGGACAGTGAAAGCAGTAAACAGGGAGCGGTTTCTCCTTCTTCTAGGGAAATGTTGACAGACATCTCCTCCGCAGTGGTTTTTTTTTCCCCCAACCACAAGTGTATTTAAAGCATCAGGTCAAAAAGTCCACGCTGAATAGAATGTCTTGAAGTTTCATTTCTGCTAGTAAAAGCCTTCCCCTAAATCAGAGGCCTCCAAACTTGGCACCTTTAAGACTTGTGGACTTCAACTCTCAGAATTCTCCAGCCAGCTATGCTGGCTGGAGAATTCTGGTAGTTGAAGTCCACAAGTCTTAAAGTTGCCAGGTTTTGGGGACCCCTGCCCTAAATTGTCAAGAAGTGAATGGAGAAGCCCTGAAGCAGCCTGTTGATTTGCTTCAAGAAACGCATCCAAGTTTAAGGGTAGGCCACTTTGGAAACCAAAAAATGGACTGGCCCCCACAATTCAAGGTTCCCAAATGCTTAGGGGAGAAATGAGGATCCTTGCAATCTGCAGATGTTGCTGAAGCATAAATCTTAATTTTGAAGCATAAATCTCATAGAACACATAAAGGGACCCCCAGAGGTCTTCTGACCCTCTGCTCAAGTCAGAAAACCTTGTATCAAGGTGTCTTCAAACTTGGCAGGTTTAAGACTTATGGACTTTCAACTCCCAGAATTCCTGAGCTAATTCAACAGCAGAATTCCTCTCCTGACTGGAGGAGGAATTCTGGGAGTTGAAGTCCACAAGCCTTAAAGCTGTCGAGTTTGAAGGCCCCTGCCTTATACCATCCTAGTGGTTGAAGAAGCTTCTTGGATGAGAAGCGAAACATTTTCAGAGAATTAAACAAAAACAAAAACAAAGATAGTCCAGCTGCTCTTTGGAAAAAGCACCTCTGGGACTCCCAACGAGGAAACACCAAACCAGATGGAAGGGGCCAATTTCATTTTGTAAAAAGGAAATGATCTTCCTCCATCCCAGACAGGTCTTGAACACAGAAAAGCCTTCTTTAAAAAAAAAGCCCCTTAATCAAGAGGGATGAGATTTTAGACAGATCTAGGTCAGCTATTTCATGAGACAATTTCTTTAAAGATGCCACCTGATGAGCATATGAAAAGCTAAAGAGCAAGAAACCAGATAATACATCACTACAACAAATTATATCAATGCCCTTAATTATCATTTTACGTAAGTCCTCTGAAATCCAGAAATATTGAAAAAAATGAAGCGCTTGCTTCGAGCTGGGATAGCAACAATGGAAATTTTGTATCTATTCTGTTTAATTTGAAAATTCACATATGTTGGGTGTAGCCAAAATCGTGGGCATGGAAAAAAATAACAGTCACATAAAATTCTAACATGTCAGGAAATATGAAAAAGGAAACAATGAGTGTGTTTTCCATTCTACTTTTTTTTTGCAATTGAATATTTATGATATTGGACTCAAAAAAGAACTTACATGTGTTTTTGTTTTTTTTACTAGACAGAGAACAAATCTACATGGCAAAAAAAGAAAAAAATGATAAAGTACCTGCAGGGGGGGAAAAGCAAAAGATTTAGGGCTAGATTATACACTCAAAAAATGAAGTCAGGAAGAAGATCTGTTTGGTCTGCCAAGGAATGCCCAGAAAAACTCACAAAGAGTATTTTACCTGTGAGAGTTGTCTTTTTCTCTCCCTGCTCGTTAATGGCTAGTGGTTAGTCAAGAAGAGAAATGATGACATGCACATTATGACGTCATTGTGCAAAAGACAAGAAAGGCGTCAACTGTGTCATTATATAACATGACTGACATTATATCGTGACTTGGTCTACTGGAAGGGGCCTCCAAACTTGACATCTTCAAAAGTTGTGGATTTCAACTCCCACAATCCCCCAGCCAGCATGGTTACCAAGTTTGGAGACCCCCTAGTCTAGTGGTTGAGGCAGCAGGCTAGAAACCAGGAGATGGCGAGTTTTAATCCTGCGTTAGGCCTGGAAGCCAACTGGGTGATTTGGGGCCAGTCAGAAGGAGACTTCAGTCCCTAGTCTCACCTTAGGCAGGAAAGCCGGCTGGGTGACACTGGATCAATCTCGCTCTCTCAGCCCAATCCACCTCACAGTAATTGTTGTGCTAGTCGTTTCCGGCTCTAGGGGGCGGTGCTTATCTCCGTTTCAAAGCCGAAGAGCCAGCGCTGTCCGAAGACGTCTCCATGGTCCTGTGGCTAGCAGGACTAAACGCCGAAGGTGCACAGAACGCTGTGACCTTCCCACCAAAGGGGTCCCTATTTTTCCACTTGCATTTTTACGTGCTTTCAAACTGCTAGGTTGGCAGAAGCTGTGACCAGTAATGGGAGCTCACTCTGTTATGCAGCGCTAGGGATTCGAACCACTGAACTGCTGACCTTTCTGATCGACAAGCTCAGCACCTTAGCCATTGAGCTACCACATCCCTTTAAAAATAATAATAAAGTTGGGATAAAAAATACAAAATTAAATACAAAATTTAAAAGTGAAATATACAAATTGCTTTATTTGCATGATGACAGCATTGTGGTTTTTATCAGACGCCTATGCCCAACCTTTTCCAATTTGCTGACTGAAGGTCTCACAGTGACTTTAAGACAAGACCCACAATCATTTCTCACAGGAGGCTAAGCCAATGTAGTTCATGCACCTGTGCTTCAATGCGTTGTGCATCAGTCATGGTGATTTGGAAACCATAGCTCAGATATGCAAGCAGATTTTGCACTTCCCACAATTGCGATTTTATTCAACAAACTGTGATTCCACAAAAGACTGGCTATTGAAATGTGTGGATCCCGTTATTGCAACCACTTCCACTGCAATCTGCAACAATGGATCTTGGGATACACTAGGAATATTCCAGAATTCCAACTTCTGGAATAAACTTTTGTCCAAGTCACAGATATTTGTTATCTTCCTGAAAAAGAGCAAGACAGTGAGACTGATGAAAAAGATATTCAAACGAGTTTAAAGGGGGTCCCAACGCTAATATACAAAGCCTACTCCATTCGTATCATCATTACATCCCATCGTCACACAGTATAAAACAGGAGCAGCCCAGCGTTGCCAACATCTTTTCTGGGTTCTTTTTAGAGTTTTTGAGCGGAGGAACTTGAGTTGAGGTTTGAAGAGGTAAAAAACAGAAGCCTTCAAGCTCTGCAGATGGCTAAGAAACTGCAGGAGGTCCTTGACTTATAACCATTCATACAAGTGAACCCTTCAAAGCTGCAATGGCACCGAAACTAAGGACTCAAAACCAGCCCTTGCACTTAAAAGACCCTAGCAGTATCCCCACAGACCCAGGTCAAAATTCAGGTGCTTGGCAAATCAGCATGGTACATCCCTGGTGTACACCCACTGCATAATTTTGGATAGCGTCAGCGAGAGAACATTTCTAGCATATTGCACAGAAATAGAAATCTAAGTAAAACTACATGTTAATACATTACTGGGGTGCAATAAAGAAAGCGGTCTCCTTCCTCTTGGTCTACCCCAAGAGGAAGGAGCACAGTAGAAGTGCGGAATGTAAGCGTTACCCTAAGTGTTGCACTTAATTAGCCAAAGTGTTTAGACATGGAAACTGTTCCAAGACTTACTTGTCGAGGAAATCCTTGTCCACCACAGCACAGATGTCAAGGAGGGGGTTGCCCATTCCAAAGAGGACATTTTCACTGCAAGATAAAGTTCTTCAAGTTACTTGATGTTACAAACTGCAGAGTCCTTATAAATCCTCAACTTACAATAGTTCATTTAATGAAGTTACAATGGCACTGGGAAAAAAAAATAACTTATAGCAATAGCACTCAGACTTATATACCGCTTCACGGTGCTTTACAGCCCTCTCTAAGCGGTTTGGAGTCAGCCTCTTTGTCCCCGACAATCGGGCTCCTCGTTTTATCCATTTCAGAAGGGCGGAAGGCTGAGTCAACCTGGAGCCGGTGAGAATCGAACTGCGGGCAGTTAGCAAAGTCGGCCTGCAGAATTGCATTCTAACCACTGTGCCACAATGGTTCTTAGGATTATCTTTCACACAATTGTTGCAGCACCTTCCTGGTCACGTGATTAAAATTCAGGTGCTGAATTTTACAATTTATTTAACAAGAGGAATTTTGGGCTCAATTGTGGTGCTTAAGGATGAGGACTACCTGCCTATACAAGCTCGCACCATTTTGAGAGTGCAAAGCCCTTCCCTCTCTCCCCCATGAAGTCAGGATTAATTAATGACCTCAACTGCTGCGCCAAACAGAGATCAATCAGCGGCCTTTCACAGATTTGTTTTTAAGCCTTTCTGTGCGTTTGTGTAAAAAGCACACGCGGTGCAGAGTTCACAGCAGCTAAGTGGCTTTTGAAATCCTCAAATGTTGTTTTTATCAAGAGGCACACTTGAAAAGTCACGAAGATAGTTCAAGCTGGCTTTATCTGTAATGCAGATTTTTTTAAAAAACCAAAAAGCAAGTTTGTAGGCGCCAGCTGTCCTTCTGTAGAGGCCTGAGGAATTTTAAAATTCACTCAGTTTGCTGGAAAGCAAACATTTGATCAAAGTTTTATTGATCAATTCCTGTAAGCTAGTTTTTTCTGTCCTTGAGATACGTTGAGTAAATATTTATCAGCATAGCCCTAGGACCCAAAAGCTACAGAGTTTTTAAAAGGAGCCATGGATAGAACACGTGCTTTTCAGATTCAATATTATTTATTTATTTGGTAGAAGTAGAGCTTCACTATTCTCACAAGACAGAATTCACTTACAGCCTTTGTCTGCATTGACCGCTGCTTTCCATGAGGTTTAAGAAGTTGCATCCAATTTTTATGCTGGCCTTTCTGGGTAAAATATGTTTTATGATTCATCTAGCTTATAAATTAGTACTAAGTAAAATTAGGAGCTGAAAAGTGTGTGTGTGGTGGGGAAGGGGAGCTAATGTTCTTTCTGTTTTACAGTATTTTGCCTCCAGTTAATAAAAGATTACAATCTTTTTTTTCAAAGGGAGCCCAAAATTTTTGGCATCTGAAATGGAACCCAAAGGTCTCTTTCTCCAACTGAATCAAAATTTTAGGAAGTCATTCTGGCCCTCTTCAGACCCCCAATGCCTAGATTTTACCAGCCAAATGTGTCGTTTTTTAAATCTGACATTTAATTTTTTTTTAAAAAATATAACATTTTAAAAATTAAAAATCTTTAAAAAGTAAATGAAAAAAAAATATCCAAAATATCTTTTTGTTAAAAAGAAAAAAAAAAGATGAGTGCAAGTTTAATTTGCTGATGATGAAGAAGTCTGGTTTATCTTACTAAAGGCAAATGTGATCATGGAAATTATCAATGTTAACAGAAATGTGTCACCGTAAATGATAACAGCTGTAACTCTTTAAGCAGATACTTCCATGTCATAAGCTAGTCCAAAGTTTATGAAATAATGTTCACATGGCATATTGTCTCCTTCAAGTTAAGCTCACCCATCAGGCCTACCACCCAGATTGAAGATCAGCTTTCTAGAGAAGGCCATTCTGGAAATTTCAAGAGGACAGACCAAGGCTCTTCAAACTTGGCAAGTTTAAGACTTGTGGACTTCAACTCCCAGAATTCCTGAACTAACATGACTGGAGGAGGAGGGATTCTGGGAGTTGAAGTCGACAAGTCCACAAGTCTTAAAGCTGTCAAGTCTACTCCTGGGATAGACGCATGTAGTAAAACTGTTATTTTCCAGGAGACAGGCAAACAGAACGCCTGAGTTCATTTTCAAACATCACGCCACAAGTTTCCCCCCAAGTAATTTCAAAGATTTTTACTCCCGCCTTGACTAAGTGCCAACATTCAAGCCCGCAATCAGCTCTCAAAAAGTTGAGACACCTCATTACCAAAATAAATTAAGAGTCTTCTGGGAAGACAAGAATATTACTGGCACATTTCAGTTTTTATTTAAGTAAATAGGATATGTTTACTTCTCAAGAGCTGGCTTTGACTCCAGTGATATATAAGTCCTATAAATAAACTTGGAAAACCGGAAAATCAATGTTCAGCCATGAAGCTTATACTTAAGAGCTCACCGATCCAGTTGTTGTAAAGTCTAAAGAATTTCAGCTAAAGTGCCCTGGACGTAGTGGACCTATTGGTATATAATTGGTTGCACTGATATCGGAAACAGCTGTTATTTCAGAACTACGTTGAAAGTCTTACTCACAAACTCTTGCAACTGTAGCCAAACATTAAACCCAGAAAATATTTTGAGACATCCAATATTACTGCAAGTCACAGCAAAACCCCACTTGGTTAAAAGAGAAGGAACATCCCCATCCATCAGCAATTCCCACACCTCTCCACCCTACTTCAGGTTATCTCAAACTTCAGTTTTGGTGAGAAGTGCAATGAATTAAGATTCCAGGCACGTTCTGTATTGGTGGGTTTGGTAACCCAAATTCCAAAACAGCCCTTCCGGATTGAATCTGAAGGACTTGTGGGGGGGCGGAGGTAATCCATGAATCTCAAACTTCAGTTGAAGAAGTTTTGTTTGCAAACCAAAATGCCTTGGCTCTCTGAAGCCAGCCAGATTATGGATCCATGCTCCGTGCTGGCCAAATGCCAGACCTTTAAAGCCTGAAAGGGCTCCTGATGATTAAAGATCATATTGTCCTGCCTGCCAAGAGGAGGCCCTTCCTTGTCTAAAGGTTTGTGCTGCAAGAACGGCGTGGCGTGATGCCATCCTTGCCTACAAGGATACCTGGCAGTGCCTTTTCCGAAGGAAACCGGGCCAAATTCACCCCGTGCTTTGCTTTTGATCCAGGCAAAGGTTTCAAAATCAACTCCATTTGATTGCTGAGCCTTCAATCCGGCCCTTCATCTTACACAGTGGGGAACCTTGAGGTTTTTAAGAAGAGACTGGACAGTCCCTTGTCTGAAATGGTATAGGATCTCCTGTTTGAGCAGGGGGCTGGACTAGAAGACCTTCCAACGTCCCTTTCCAGCCCTATTTCTGCTTCTGCTCAGTCCTGCACTGCTTTGGGGGGGCACGGTTGATTCACTTAGAACCGACCCGAGCCACTGCCTTGAAGGCTTCTTGCTCCGCAGGATCAGAAAAAGAAGCGGGGTGTGTGTGTGTGTGGAGAAGGCACAGGATCGGAAGACGTTCTCCAAAAGGATTCAGGGAAAACATCCCTCCCGAGCCAGAAACTTCTTAGAGCTTTTATAGCGAGTTAAAGAGAATCTAAGCCGCCGGTCGAGCCAGCCAAACCGGCCTTTAAGTCGACAATCCTACAGGCTAAAGAGACTCTCGGGGATGTGGAGAGATGCGCGATCCGGATCCGGGCAGGTCTGGTTTAAGTTTAGTATTACTTTGAACTTTAATTGCCACTGCACCCCTCGCATATACAACGAAATCCAGTGCCATTCTTCGGCGTACATGGTAATTGGTAAACCTCAAAACAACCCAACATGTATGTACATTGTAACCTATGGACATCAAAACGCAAAACACACACCCTTCGCCCTCTATGCACCTGAATCGAAACCCCCTGATATTGCATTCATTCAATTCAATTCATTCATTAATATTAATTATTTTAGATCCGGACTGTTGTATCCCTTAAGCCGGCTGGAGAGAGAGAAAAGGGGAAAAAAACCAAAAAACCGCAGCCAGCAGCGGCCCTTCCTTTGCAAAGGGCTTGCCTGCTTAGCGCTGCAGTGCACCGCTTCCCAAAATCTTCGGGCGGCGGGAAGGGTGGGGGCGAGGGTGTTGGATCCGAGGGCAAAAGAGGGTCAGGCTCCCAAGCTCAACCGACGCCGCGTCCTGGCCATGCCGGCCGGATTCTCTCTCCCCCTTGCACTTAAAAGCAGCAAGCCCACCGCTTTGGTTATCCCCACCACCACCCCTCGACCCCCAGCCAGCGCTTTGGAGCCGGATCCGGAGGCGCCAGGAGAGGTGGAACTCTGGCCTTACCATCGGGAGGCTGTGAGTTCGATCCTCGGCAGAGGCTAATATTTGGAAGAGACTCTCCTGCTCGAGTAGATGACCTCTAAGGTCCCTTCCAACTCTCTTATTCTATGATTCTATAAAACTTGCTCGCGCTCCCCCCCCCCCTACAGGTTCAGTATGAGCCCCCCCCCCCCCCCCACCAAACCGCTTCGCCCGGGGAGGCTGGCCCGGACCCCCACCCCCACCCGACCGCTTCGTAGACGGCCACGCTCCGTAGGGCTCGCAGGGGATGAGGCGGCGGCGGCGGCTGCTCTCCTCCCTGGCCACGAGGGAGACCCCCACATACACACAGCCCCCCCTTTCCCCCCCCCCCCCCCAAAAAGATACCCCTCTGAGGCGCCGCAAGTCCCGCCGACTTAACTTGGCGGGCCGAGCATCCCGGCGCTCTTCTCCTCGCTCAGCCAAGCGGCTGCTGAGGCGAGTTGGGAAAGCCTGAGGCGAGGTGACCAAACCTACCTGAGGGTGGCCATGGCGCCGGCGGCTGACGAGCAATGGACGGTCCCCCTTTCCCCTCACCTCGCCTAGCGCGCAAAAGGGCTCCAGGAGCGTGCGCTGAGGGTGGAAGGAGGGAGCGGGGGGGACGGAGCCCGGGACTCGGGGCCCGCCCGGGCCGCGCCTCCCTTCTTCTCGCCCTGCCGGGCCCGCCGCCATTGGCTGGCACGGGGCGCGCTCCCGAGGCGGGGAGGAGGGGGGCGCGCCATCTTTGCCGCGCGGGGCTGACGCGCCCCAGCTCCTCCCTTCCGCGCCGGCCGCCTCGGCGAGGCCGGGCTTCCCCACACCTGTGCGCCGCAGACGGGCGCGCCGGGAGAACCGCCGCCGCCGCCGCTTTCCCTGACCCGCCCGGTTTCGGGTTCCCCGGGCGTGAGGCTTCTTCCCACGCCGGGCTCCGGAGGCTGAACCCCCACCGGGCCTCGTGGGAAGGTGCCCGGGCGCTTCCTCCCGCCCGCCCGCCCTCCCTCCCTCCCCGCAATGCCGGCCCGGTTCCAGAGAGGCTCCGGTTCCATTCCGACCGACTTGGCCAAACTCGCGGAAAAGGCACCCCCGAAAGCCCCGGGAACTTCCGAGGCTTTTGCCCGCCCGCCTTACATCGCGGCGCGGTCTTCCCCACGACCCGCGCTTGGAACCCCGAATCCAACCGGGGCTTCTGAGTGCTGCACCCCGCGGTGGAGGGCTCAGCAGCCGCTGAACTCCAGCGTCCGGCCCCGGCTCCTCCCGGCCCCGGCTGGCTTCCTTCAAACCCCCGTGAAAGGGCCGCCGATGCGCTGGGAGGAAGGAATACGACAAAGGCAATCCCGCAATGGCGGGATTCAAAAGGACGGGCGAGTTTGGACCAGAACTGGAATCCGAGGAAAGCTCTCAGGCGAGACCCCTCCCGAGTCCCCGTGAACGTCAAGGGGCGGAGGGAAGTGCATTCGGACGTGCAACATCAGTGTCGACTCTTCAAGGTAGACTGGACTAGAAACCAAAGCCATGCATGCTAATATTATTGTAAAATTAATATGTATTTTAAAATAATAAAATGTATTTCATTTTATATATATTTTTTATTTTTTCTTATGTGCACAGAGTATTTGCACCAAGACAAATTCCTTATGTGTCCAATCACACTTGGCCAATAAAGAATTCTATTCTGTTCTGTTCTATTCTAATCTAATCTCTATTCTATTCTAATCTCTATTCTATTATATTCTAATCTAATCTAATCTCTATTCTATTCTATTCTATTCTATTCTATTCTATTCTATTCTATTCTATTCTATTCCATTCTTTATTCCGATATTCTATTCTATTCCATTCCATTCCCTATTCTATTCCCTTCCTTTCCCCCTTCCATTCTATTCTATTCTTATAGTCCTTGATGTATGGCCACTCATTTAACAACAGTTCAGATTTATGGTGGCCAGGGAAAAAGGCAGGACCTGCCCTCGAAAGTATTGCAACTGTTGCACCACCAGATTCGCTTAATGACTGTGTTCGCTTAACAACAGTGGCGGTTTGCTTGATGGCCACAGTAATAAAAAAGGGGGGGGGGCTAAAATTGGGTCCATTTGCATGTGCTGAGTGACCAAAACGCCGGTCCCAATTGTGGCCATAAGATGAGGACCACCTGTATCAGCATCTTCTAATTCTGAAAGGGCTTTCCCCTCCCTTCACAAGAACCTCTGAGGGCCTTCTTGCCTCAGGCGCTTTCTCAGGTTGCAGTTCTAGGCTGGACTGGGTTTCCTTTTATCTGAGGGCGCCCAGGTTGCAGCTGTTCCTCAGCGTTACTCCTTGTACTAACTGTCACTATTTTCAAATTAGCAAATGTGTATCTCTCGTATCACACACACACACACACACAGAGCCACCCCTTGCCTTGTGCTTTAAGTGAGCCCTCTGAGGCGTGAAGGATGAACTCCTGTGAGAGAACCATCCCAGGCCCAGCCAAAAAAGGCCCCAGGTGACAGGAACCTAGGTGGACAGGCAAGACGAACAGGTGAAGGCACCTGGACTGCTGACGTTCTGTTCTAATAGCTGCTTTCAGGTAAAAAAACAACTCAGCAGAGCTTTGAAGATCAAAAACAGGTATGGCTGCATTACCTAGCCGGTGGCTGGCTCAAACAGATAACAGAGAATCAGAGTTGGAAGGTCATCTAGTCCAACCCCCCACCCAAGCGGGAGACCCTGAACCATTTCTGACAAATGGCAGTCCAGTCTCTTCTTGAAAGCCTCCAGTGATAGCGCTCCCACAACTTCCAAGGGCAACTTCTGTTCCACTGATTGATTGTTCTCCCTGTCAGAAAATTTCTCCTTATTTTTTCAGGTTGAATCTCTCCTTGTTCAGTTTCTATCCATTGTTCCTTCTCTGGCCTTCGGGTGCTTTGGAGAATAGCTTGACCACTTCCTCCTCTCTGTGGCTTGACCCCGTCCTCTCTATGAAATGTTTTCCTCATTTGTATCTTGGGAATAGTAGCAGAACTTAAAACCAAGGTGGAAAATAAAGCCATGATACAAAGCCTTCATGTTGTGTGAACCCAGCTGATGTGGTTTCTTAAATACAGTGGGATTAAGCAAAGAGGTCACTACAAAAGAGCCAGCGCATTGCCTATCATGTCACATGCTCGGGTGTACATTCAACATGACAGGTTTCTTTGTTTTTGAGAAACAAGCTCTTTAAGACACAAAAACTAGAAGTCTACAGAGACATGTCTCTGGACAAAGTGGGGCCTATTTTTCCTACATAGTACCTAATTTGGATTTCCCACACATTAAGAAATTGGAAACTTAGGCTACGAAACACCAATTCACGGAACATGCTCAATAAAAGTTTGCTGGCTTAAGCCAGGATGTTATATAGGATCCAGAAAATGGGGGGATTACTCACTAATTCACAGTTTGATATGTGGCACTAACGATAGATAGATAGATAGATAGATAGATAGATAGATAGATAGATAGATAGATAGATAGATAGATAGATAGATAGATAGATAGATATTGACAAATATATAGAGACAGATGGACAGACTAGATTGTTAAACAGACAAGATAGACAGACTAGATAGACAGACAAGATAGACAGATAAATAGACAAATATATAGATATAGACAGAGACTAGACAGACAGACAGAAAGAGAGAGAGAGAGGAAGGTAGATATATAGCTAGAGACAGACAGACAGACAGACAGATAGATAGATAGATAGATATTGACAGATAGATATTGACAGATGGACCAACTAGATAAACAGACAAGATAGAGAGACAGACAGACAGACCTAAAGAGAGAGAGACAGGAAGGTAGATATATAGCGACAGACAGACAGACAGATATTGACAGATATATATAGACAGATGGACAGACTAGATAGTTAAACAGACAAGATAGATAGACAGACAGACTAGATAGACAAGATAGCCAGATAAATAGATAGACAGACATATAGATATAGACAGAGACTAGATAGATAGACAGACAGACAGACAGAAAGAGAGACAGACAGGAAGGTAGATATATAGCTAGAGACAGACAGACAGAGAGATAGATATAGAGATATATAGATAGATAGATAATATCTTCATTTAAGAGTCTGAGCTAAATAGGAAATGCTCTTCAAATAACAGATTTCCGAGAACAACACATGGCAGGTGTAACAAAATCTGTTGAAAGGAAAAGAACCGACGGGATACAATTAGCACTCTGAAAATCAATGCTGTCGGATCTTTAAAAGCTCACTGGGACTGGTGTTACAGCTAGTCCAAGAAATCAGAATCGAATTAGAAAATTCAAATGCCTCCTCAGATATTACCTGCATTAGTTTCCAAAGGTTCCCGAATTCTTGGGATGTAAATGCCTAGGATTATCGTAAATACGAAGAAAATAATGGGGGAGGCATTAGGTTTGCAGCAATACAGGTAGCTCTCACTTACTGATGGTAATTAGGACCAATAACTCAGTCATTAAGCGATGCAGTCATAAGATGCGATGTTACCTGGCCATTGCAACCTTCCCCATTGACTTTGCTTGTCGGAAGCTGGCAGGAGGGTTGCAAATGACAGCGCTCACAAACACAAAGTCCCATCATGTGTGATGACTCAGGGCGTGGCATAAAGGAAACACAGTCAGATAAGCAATAAGAGTCCCTTTATTATCTCCAACTTTGCCCCCAATGTCTAGGTTGCCTTTGGCTGGAGGAACAGCCTTTAACAGGAGAAAATTTAGTGTGAAAACAAAGTACATATAAACTGTAACTAAAAATCCAAACAAACCACGCTGCAGTAATTAACTAGACAGGGCAGGAGAAGGAATTGCAGACTTGAAAGCATGGCAATACTCACACAGTTAGGAAGACGCCAGGAACACAGATAAGCCATGATGATACCAGATAAATTTACGTTTGCTCCCAACAGTTTGCTGTGTGCAGCTTCCTTTTTTAAACACTGTGTTCCCAGCTGCAGCTAATAAAGGGAATCAGAGCCCATTCTTCCCCTGTAAGCCAAACAGCTCACGTTGCTCCCTTCTCCATTCCTCCCTGCATGCCCTAGGATGAAGAGGGGGTGGGCCTGGGTCTTCCTCCGAATTCCCTCTGCCTTGCTCTACCTCTCCCCTGATCTGCCCAGCCAGACTTTGCCCTTCCCCAGTTTCTTCCACAGCCAACAGAGCCACATTCCCACTCCCTGTCAGCTGTTCATCCTTCCTCTCTGAATCAGACTCGGACAGGGGCATGACATTGTGAGTGCTTCTTGGGCAGCACCATCCTAACTTTAAAATGTCCCTGAACAAGTGGACATTAAGCAAAGCACTGCCTGCACATGATTTCAAAGACAGCTCCAATTGTACTTTGCCAGCAACCAGTTTCCTCAGGCTAAAACTCTGGAAAGGCGCACTCACACACTTGTTGTTGCAAAGATCAGTTTCCAAAAGTACTTTTCATTCAAATTACCTAAGCCGTGCAACTGAGACATTTACATCTCCCCAGGGGAGCTCATGCAAATTATTGATGAGCTTCATCAACCTTGCATTCCCTGTCACCAAGGAAGTCAGACATCCACCAATATACACACCTTCAGGAAATACCTGCTTCCTTGTCCCAAAGTTG